GAAAACTTTGAATCAATCTGACTGGATGTGAGATGTTTGACATGATGTGAATTGGCGCTATAGAAATAAATTGAGTTAATGAGTCGATGCAATCAGCTGGTTTTCCTTAGATAGAAAACTTTGAATCAATCTGACTGGATGTGAGATGTTTGACATGATGTGAATTGGCGCTATAGAAATAAACTGAATTGAGTTAATGAGTCGATGCAATCAGCTGGTGTAGCTTAGAAACCTTTTATCTGACGGGATGATCTGATGAAGCTAAACTAAATGTAATAAAACTAAATGAATAAAATAATAATGCTTAATGCTTCCAGACAGAAATCTGTTGGAAGGTTCACTTATTGGAAAGCAGCAGGAACAGCTGAGGATAAGGGATAATAGAAACCACAAAATCAATTCAAAGAAACGGCTTAATTTAATATAGACTTTATTCTCTGGGTTAAATATTTCCATATATATTATTATATATAGCAGCTGATTTAGACAAAAACAAAGAAAAAAACTTCAGTTCATAATGAAATCTTGTTTGAGTATTTCTGAGGAATCAGAAGCAAGACCCTTAACCACAAACTGCTCCCCACGTGCTGCACAATGGCAGCCCACTGCTTCCCAAGGGGAGGGGTTAAATGTAGAGGTAAATTTATCCATTGCAAGATCAATAAAGTTCAATTATTATTATTATTATTAACCAGGCTGTTAAATGACTTCATCCATAATTACACCTTCTCAGACCAACACGCTGCCCCACTACATCCATTTAAATGTTTTCTTTTTTTTTTTTATGTCTAATCTTTATGTTTTCTTACATCCCTTTGAATGTTTTGGCACCATGTTTTTAAGGGAAACAGAAGGAAATAGAAACATCCTTTATTGGGAGAATCGATGTTCTCCAGCAGCAAAGAAGAATAATCATGGAAACTCATTAATCTTCCTGTTTTACTTCACTTTTCCAACATTCAGTCCTTTTTTAGTGGAAAACTCATTTGTTGAGAGTCCAGACTACGGTTAGCGTCTGAGAGGCAGCCAGCCTCACTCAGCAGACGGTCCTGATCCTGAACCGTCTGCTCCGATCAGGCCCTGTAGATGTAAGTTCAGGATGGAGTCAGCGATGATCCGAGCCGTTTTCTTCTGGTATCCTCCTGAAGTCACCATGAGGATGGGGATCCCACGCCGCCTGGCGGCCCTGAACACCAGCTCATCCCTCCTAATGATGCCCTGCCAGGAAAACAGAAGGAAAGCTGTGAGTCTACTTCACCTTCTGCAGCCTGGAGACGAGGGATGGAGGCAGAGATGACAGGAAACTCTAACCAGAGCTGAATTAAACCCAAACCTTCAAGTATTCCTTATTGAATAGCATATTACTATAATTATTATTGGTGAATTATTGGTGACTTCCAACCTACAGCTGAGTAGATAAAGAGAAATGTAACAGAAGTCTCCCTGAGTTGAACACTTCTACTGCATGTTGAACTAGTCCAAGTGAAAAAAGTTGCATATCAGCAGAAGTTATGATGTCAGGAGCCAATTGATGATCTTTTACTGGAAAAAAAGGGAACGAAAATCCAAAGATTCTGATAAATAACTAAAAGAGACTCTAAAATTATATTATTTTGAATTAACCTGGGGAAGAAAATAAATATATTAACGAGGTAGGTGTTAACAACCATGGTCTGTGGCGTTTCCATGGAGACAGAGAGGAAGAATACTCCTGAACTGGATGGAAAAGAGAAGATCTAATGGTCACCTTAAATGAAAGGTTGGATGGATGGATGGATGGATGGATGGATGGATGGATGGATGGATGGATGGATGGATGGAT